AGTCCGCAACTCCCCCCCCTTCTCCTGCCTCCAAGGGGGTGGTTTAATGTTCTTTGCCGATGGAAATTTAGTCTTTTACAAAAGGCTTTCCAAGACTTCAGCTTGCAGCCTCATTGCTTCAGTCTATTTACAAAAGGAGAAGGCGGACTTCCTGTATTGAACATCCCCGTTTCGATACCAAATTAAACGTTAAAAATCCAATTCTCCCGCTTCAGCTCTACTCACGGGTAATTACTTTGAAGTCAAATTATCCACAGGAAAAAGTCAGTGCTCTCCGGCAACAGCTATGCGGCTTCGCTCCGTGGAAGAAGCAGACAATTCGAAGCACCGCGCCGCTCACCCCACGTCGCTCCAGACCCCCAAAACCGGGTTTCCCCGCGAGTAGGGGAGGTGCAAAAGGTGCCCACCGAATCCCACACTCACAGGCTTCTCCCGCCTGTGATTTTTTGCGGGTCTCCGCCTTCATTCAGCTTGTTTTGACTCAGGTGCCCAAGTGTTTTCTCTGCTCGTGTTTCAAGGCACTTCCACACAGTGGGTATTTTAGAGTGGGATCCAATCCCACACAGCAAATAAAGGTTGGTGGTCTGTCATCTAATCTCCCTGCAAACAATTCAGGATGAATGCTCCTTAAATATCTAATGTCACCTAATCTCCATGTAAACAAAGCAGGATGAATGCTTAAAAATCAGGTCATCTGGAAGCACCCTTGGAAGTGCTTTTCCTTTCTAAGATGAGGCAAACGTGTATCTTGAGCTTTTCTGTGCGCACACCTTGATCTACCCACACGTACTTGTTATCCCTGAGAAACGTAAATAACAGGATATATTTATCCGAAAGTCTTCAAACTTACATGCCCCTTTAAAAATTAGCTGATGAAGGTGAATACATCGAAACAGGGCCCTGTCCTGGTTTCTAATCCATAATTGACTTCTGACTTCTGCTCTATGCTTGAAACTGAGTCTCCATCTGCAAGCTGATAAATTATAAGGATCAACATTACTGTCGAGTGAAAAAGAGAAAATCTTTGTAACGAATTATTGTGTTATACATATCTTTATGAGTTTGAGTTTGTAATCTCTGTTAGAGTTTGTAATCTCTATTTGAGCTTGTAATCCTTGTCAGAATACATACTTCTGAATTGATTAGTTTTTGTTACTATTGACTATTGATTGAGGGACCACTCCCACTATTGAAACTTACATTGGCCTGAGTTCTTGGTGTGCTTTTTTCTTGGTACATTTAATAACAAGAACTCCAACTTATTTAAGGTTGGGAGTTGTGCAATGACAAAGTTCAAAAGATGTGCGTTCAGCTCCCTTTGTTGGCAATCTGTTCTGGAGATACACTGCAGTGCATACTGCGTCTGCCCACAACTTATGGGGTAGGGATGCATCCTTTAACACGCACCTTGTCCTCTCCATGATGGACCTGAACTTTCTCTCAGCTATGGAGTTCTGTCGTGGGGTATCAGGAATTGTGGTTACATGCTCAATTCCTTCCTTCGCTAGGAGAGATTGCATGTCATTTGAACAATATTCACCCCCCATTGTCAGTCATTAGCATAGCTGGAGCTCTCTGGAATTTGTTCTTCACCATTGCAAGTTAGTCCTTGAACATTTCCAGCATTTCACTCTTTTCCTTGATGAAATAACACTGCACAATACTTTGAAAAATCATCAAGAAATATTGGTATGTACCTGTTCTTCCCCAATGAGGGAACATTCATAGGTCCACATAAGTCACTGTAGACTATGTTGCTATGTTGCACTGTAGGCTATGTTGCACTTTGTTGCTTCTCTGCTCGGTCCAAGGAGGAAATGGAAGTTTAACTTATACATTTTGTTGGTGTTGTGTTGCTCTTTGTTACGTGCAGTCCCCTTGCAAGCTCTTTTCTGTAGACCCAGAATGGTGTTGGTGTCTCTGTGTCCAAGTCTTCTGTGCCACAGCTCCAGGTCCGCCTCATGCTTATGGTTTGAGTGTGCCACCTTAGCAGACTGCTTCTCTGAAAGATCAACCTCATATATGCCATTTATTAGCTTGGCTTGAACAAACACTTCACCATTCTTAGTCACATTACATTCTCCAATACCAAACGTTATTTGAAAACATTTTCTGTCCAAACTGGACACACTAAGCATATTACAACTCAGTTGTGGAACATATAAAACTCTTTCCACAATAGTATCCATTGCTTCATTGTTTATATTACATTTCAAAGTTACAGAACCTGCACCTTGAGGTTTAACAACATTGCCACCTGCAATTTCAATATGAGATTTAACAATATCATTAATATCAGTAAAATAGTCCTTTTTATATCCAAAATGTGAAGAAGCTCCAGAGTCAACAATCCATTTGTTTGATTTATTTTCACGTCTCTAAACAGGTAAACTCTTTTCTTGCCAAAGTAAGGTGTGTTCACATTTCCCCTTCTTTTCTTTTTCTTGTTTGGATCCTTACAGTTCCTTGCAATGTGGCCCTCTTTGTTATACTTAAAGCACACAACCTTCTTGGGTGTGTCTTCGGCCTTTGTAAACTGTCTAGACGCATAATTAGTGTCTTTACTCCTCACATTTTGGACTGGAGACTCTGCTCTTGCTTTGCATTCCTGTCTCAAATATGCAGTCAGATCTTTAAAAGTTAAACCTTCTTGATAATCAAGCAAATACATCAAATTTGGATCCTATGATGCTAGGAAGAAAGAAGTCTTCATATCTTCACTGAGTGGACTTTCCGTGAGTTGAATCTTTTGTACTATAGCAGTAAACTCATTTATATGCTTTGAGAATTCTGCTTTATGGTTCATCCTCAGTTTAAAAAGCTCACGCAACAGCATCCTATGAGAGCATTTCATGGTATCTCCATACTGTGGGAATGTTCAGGGATGCAGGAGAGGATATCTTGTCTGATTATATCCTTATCCAACTTGTGTTAACAAGTTCCACAATTTCAGCAGAGTAACATTCCCTTCTTTTAAATTTGTAGCGGCTACATTTGCTCAGGCTCGCTAAAGCCTCTATAATAACTGTTCTGGTATTTCCCCTTATTCCCTCATAAAATATAAGAGACGACACAGTCTTTTACAAAAGTATAAAAAGAGTTTACTCACATTTTGTTCACAATCAGATCCCAGAAGGCAGACTTAGCTTAATGAAGTAACATACACTTGGAATCTATCTTATAAGAAGACAGTCCCTTTGTCCTCTCTTGGCTGGAAGCCAAGAGGGCATCTTTGGCTCAGTAGATGTTGTTTTTTTGATGCATGTGGTGAAAGAGAGAGAGAGATGGCTGCCCTGCCCTGTGCTTTTGTCATTACCTGCACAGGTGAGGCCACACCCACCTCTAGTCACATGCAGAGGAAGTCTGTCCCAGCCCAGAAGGAAACAGGAAGTTTACCTGCTGGCTGGACAAACATCCCTCCCCATGTGTAAACATGTTCACTCTAGGAATGTTGTACTTGACTGCTCTTGTGTTTCACATCCCACACATACATGCGCTCTAAATCATTTAAAATTTGAGACACATCATCTCTGCAGTCAACCTGTGATAACTGTTCATCTTTAAGTCCATCAAAAATAATAGTCTTGGCTTTGCTATTTTGTAGCTTCCATAATCTAATTTTTGCTAAGTCCTTTTCACTCGAGCCACTAGGCTTAGGATCTCTTGATTCTAGGAGTACTATCAAATGTTGCTTCCAGTGAACAAAATTATGTTCATTCAGCTTAGGCATTCTTGGCCCTGCATCTTCATCAAAAATCACACTAGCTATCTTAAAAATCAAAAATTTCAAAAATATTCAAAATTTCAAAAATTTGCCAAAATTTCAAAATTAAAATCTCAAAAATCTCAAAAGTAAAAACAGCTCTTTACTGTCTTAGGTACTGTGAACTCCAAGGGAAGGAGGTGTGCTTAATTCCCTCACACAATGGAGCAATAGACCATGTTCTTACCAGGAAATAGACAAAGAAAAATACTCTTCAGCTTAGGATCTCAATCCTTTGCAAGCCTTCAAAAATACGCAACACTGGGGCCAATAACCCTTTGTGGGAATGTTGTGGGTAACAGGAGAGGATATATTGATTAATATTATCCTTCCTAACTCGCGATAGCAGAGTGCATTCCCCCTTTACACAACAGGTAGCTGGTTGCAGATTCGTTAGAATCTCTTAAGTTCTTTTATTCCTGGTAAGACCCCCTTTATCCCTCCTAAAAGAATAAAGACACCACAGTCTTTATTCATAAATAACAAAAATAAGTTTACTCAGGATCAGGCAGAGCACAGTGTGATCCTTGAAGGCAGGCTTACGGCTTGAGGTTACAAATAAGTACAAATAGGTTTGCCCCATATGGGAGATAACCCAGGGACTGGTGGCTGAGAGCAGCAGTGCAGTCGAGGTGAAGCAGGAAGCAGACAGGACGAAAAAGAGGGGAGGGAGGTAGCTACATGACTTGGCCTTTTACCAGGTCTGGAAAGGTCACGCCCCCTACTGGTCACATGCAAAGGAAGGATGCTCCAGCCAGGTGTAATAGGAGGTTTGACTGGCTGGACCAACATCCCCTGCATGTGCACTCTAGCAAAACAAGTAATGTTGTACTTGACTGCTCCAGTGGATTACATCCCACAGAAAGGAGATAGGAGGGCTGTAGGATAAAAGAGAATCTGAGCTGCCCATTGTACTAGACCACACCAATGTATGGACTCAGCAGATGCATTCTGGTTGATTTAGCCCTGGAAAAGGATCTGTGGCTCCTTCAGTGGTCAAAGGAAAGCAAGCACATGGTCCAAGAGAACACCTGGTCTCATCTTTGAGATGCAGCAGATTAGAGATTACAGACCTGGGAGCCGAGATTCTGGGATCCTGGTGTCTCTAGGAAGCAGGCCTTATGAGCAAGGATGGGGGGAGAGTGGTTTTCCTGGCCACCCTTGTTCTTCATTATCACGCTTCTTCTTCTTCTTCTTCTTCTTCTTCTTCTTCTTCTTCTTCTTCTTCTTCTTCTAGGAGCCTGAAGCCCGACTTTGTGCTGGTCCGTCAGCACGCCTTCAGCATGGCCCGTGGAGGAGACCATCGTGGCATCGTGATAGGACTGCAGTATGCAGGAGTGCCCAGCGTCAACTCCCTGCATTCTGTGTACAACTTTTGCGACAAGCCCTGGGTGGTGAGTGGGGGGAGCCGATGTTTGGGGCAAGGACTGTGACTGTAGGCTTTGGACTAGGTGGTGACAACGAGTGGAGTGTTTATTGGCATACCCACAAGTTGAAGGACTAGGGGTGTGTACACACTCTATCTTTAAAGCATACTCTTCCCCTCACAGAATTGTGGGCACTGTTGTTTACCCCTTAGAGAATTATAATTATCCAAAACCCTTAATGAATGAAGAAGCCCAGGATTCCTGGAGGGACCGGATGTGTTTTGAATGTACTTTACAGGTATCATGTGTACACAGGTCTCATTTGCTCATTCTCTTCCCATGGAACCATCACTAAATTAAAAAGAAATTGACATAAAGCTGAGACACTAAAACTTGAATGGCCAGTGAAAACCAGTTAAAAGCCTTGGCTAAACAGGAGAAGTGTTAACTAAATTGTGGGCAACAGGCTTGGCAGGATTCAAGCAGAGAGGCTGTTCTAGAGCATAGATGACACCATTCTTGGAGGATAAGGCTTCCGGGGCTACTAGGCATGAGGGTTATATTGCCTCCAGTATTGGAGGAACTAAGCCTCTAAATCCCAGTGGGTAGAGAACCTGTGAGGAGAGTGCTGTGCTGTTCTGCTCCGCTTATGCTTGCAGGATTCTCATGGGCTTCTGGCTGGTTGCTGTGGGAACTGGATGTTGGACTAGAGGCACCTAATCCTGCAGGGCTCTTCTTACGTTGCTGTAAGCTCACCAGATCCAGGCAAGGATATGGCAGCCTGCCTCAGGCATGGAGCAGCTATTGGGATGCCATGGGCGCAATGCACAGGCAGTGGCCTGGTTGGCCACTGTGGGAGCAGGATGGGAGAGGACCTCTTGGCCTGACCCAGCAGGCTTCTTCTTATGTTCTCATGTTCTTGCTCCATAAATAGAAGGGAAACAGAGCAGAAGGTCGTAAGAAGGAAGGCTAAGGTAATGACCACCACTTTGATTTTGGCCTGCAGCTGATGGGAAGCTGGTGCTGCTATGCCCAAGGGGGACTTCTGGTGGTGGCTGGGCAGCAGCATCCTGCATCAAGTGGAGTTTCGAGTGTCTGCCTGTGAAGGCAGCAGCAGCTCCCAGAGGGGAAAAGGGGTTCAAGGAAGCAATAGAGGCAAATGGGAGAGTTAGAACAGAAGTGAGCCGAGAACAGATTTAGAAGGTCTCTTTCTTGTTCTGTCTCTTACCTGTGGTGTCCTCCTGACAGTTTGCCCAGATGGTTCGCCTCTTTCGCAAACTTGGACCGGAAGAATTCCCACTCATTGACCAGACCTTCTACCCCAATCACAAGGAGATGGTAAGTTGGGCTGGAGTGTGGTGGGAGGGCTAGAGATACCATATTTCTTCTTCCTTTTTTGTGCTAGATCAGTGATCAGAGAGGCTTGAATAATAGATTTGTAGAGTTGGAAGGGATCCTGAGGGTCATCTAGTCCATCCCTCTGCAATGCCGTAATCTCAACTAAAGCATCCATGACAGATGGCCACCCAACTTCTGCTTTAAAATCTCCAGGGAAGGAGAGTCCACAACCACCAGGGGGAGACCATTCCACTGCCAAACAGCTCTTACTGTTCTTCCTAATGTTTAGTTGGAATCTCATTTCTTGTAACTTGAAGCCATTGGTTCGAGTCCTACCTTCCAGAGCAGGAGAAAACAAGCTTGCTCCCTCTTCCATGTGACAGCCCTTAAGATATTTGAAGATGTCTATCATATCTCCTCTCAGTCTTCTCTGTTCCAGGCTAAACGTACCCAGCTCCTTCAAGCACTCCTCATAAGGCTTAGTTTCCAGACCCTGGTTCATCCTGGTCGCCCTCCTCTGCACACGTTCCAGCTTGTCAACATCCTTCTTAAATTGTGCCAGAATTGGACACTGGACTCCAGGTGTGGTCTGACCAAGACAGAAGTGAGTGGTACTGTGACTTCCCTTGATCTGGACACTATACTTCTGTTGATGCAGCCAAGAATAGCATTAGCTTCTTTTGCTGCTGCATCACCCTGTTGACTCATGTTAGGCATGTGGTCTACTAGGACCCCTAGATTCTTTTCACATGTACTGTTAGTAAGCCAGGTTTCCCCCATCTTATATTTGTGCATCTGGTTCTTCCTGCCTAAGTGAAGGACCTGACATTTGTCCCTATTGACATTCATTTTGATGGTTTTGGCCCATTGCCATTTTCAAATGGGGCTGACATGGGCTTAAATGTTGGCTGGCTCTCATTGTGCACTGGATTTAAATGACATGGGGTGAGATCCCACAGCTTTCAGATTCAAAATATGTCACATGCTTCCTTATATGGTATTCCCATGGACACACCTTGCTGGTCAAGAGACTGCGGCCAGGACTTTGAATAAGGGCTTTTGACTGGGGTTTCCCAACCCATGGTTTGCATTTGCTGTTACTGGAACTAGGGTCATGACTGCTAGCCACAATGGCTTTGTGCTACTCACACAGTCAGAGGTAGTACACCTCTGAACACCAAAAGCTTCTCTTCTTTCTTGCTTTGCTTGGCTTCAGTCATTCCTCTTTCCTTAGCATCTGCTATCATCATCTAGCAACCCTCCCCCTTCCCAATCGCCCTTTCCTTCTGTTTCCTCCTTGCCTTTAAAACAATGAACTACAGAGCTGCAGACAGGGAGTTTTTATTTTAAACTCTTCTTTCAACGCCTAGTATAATTGTTAGGCACAGTGGTGGTGCTGGAGGGGGGGGGGACTTCCAAACAGTCTATTGCTGTAAGCAGTTGCTCCATTCCTTCCTCTTCAAGCTGAGCCACAATCTGCAGGGAACAGTCCTCCACTGCCCGTGCTTGAGACCCTGCAGAGTGGCCTTATTGCCTTCGTTTCCTCCTCCTCCTCCGAGGTTCTCTTGAGTACACCACAAGCCCCTTAGCTACCTCTGTGGCATTAGGAGCCGCATTTGAACAGCTTGGAAGCTACATGGGGCTAATGATTATTATTGAAAGCAGATGCTTTGGCAGGGGCAGCATTTCAGGTTTATGGGGAAGGAGTCAGAGGGCAGTTCCAGACTGTCACTATCTTCTAGTGGGATTCAAACACATGATGGCCAATTCAGGTTGTGCAGTTATGGTTGATGGGGAGATCTTGCGTGACAAGCCTACTCTCCCCAAATACTGGGCTTTTTGCCTGAAGAAGTGACAGGGAAATGCACTGAAAAGTGGCATAACGTTTGCTTTGGTACAAACAACTCCTTCAATAGCCAGGGTCAGCTCATCTCCCTGCAAACAAATGAGGCTGGAGGCTCAATAAACAGGTCATCTGGAAGGGCCTGCAGAAAATGTCAAGGTGGGAAGGGCTCTACGGCTCATTTTGAAGAAGATTCTCTCCCTGACCACTGAAGAACAACATCTACAACTTCCCCTGGCTCTATGCCTTTTGCAGAAAACGTTTTGGCTCTTCTGGTTTTTCTTCCAGAAAAAGAACTAGAGGCTTGCTCTTAACAGAAACTTCAGATTTTCCAGGCAAAGAACGAACAAGGAAGAACAGGCGGGGGCAGAGAAGGTGGTTTGGAACTGATGTTTATTTTTAAAAGAAACAATCCAGAGATAGGAAGGGAAGGGTCCACAAAGAGATCACTGCCTCAGGAGAATTTTGCGAAGGGAGCCCGGCCCTTGAGTGCTCAGCGACTGCCAAGTGCAGAGGCCGGTGCTTTCGCCCCGGGGCAGGCAAGCCAAGCGTTTGGCCTGGAAGCCATCCCATATCCTGGACATGATCCCATCTGTCCACAGGCACTGGTTGTCAGAAGTGATGGAGCACGGCATGGAATTGCAAGGCACAACCTTTTTTTGAAGGAAGAGTGACACACAGAAACATGAGTGGACAGGCCCCCCTCACGCATCATAGCAACATCCCATCCCCCACCTCTGTTGACCAGTGGAAGCTGGTCCATGAGGACAAGACGGGCCCAAGACATTTTGGCACCTGAGGTTAGCCAGAAAATGGCACCCCCTCCCCACCAGGGAAGAAGGGGGAGGGGGAGATCTACATCAGGAACAAGTGAGGTGGGATAAGATCCATATCTGGATCTGCTTCCTCTGTGAATCGTCTTGCCTGAGGCAGTGACCTCACCTTGCCTCTTGGGTGAGCCGGTCCTGCAGGAGGGCAAATGGGGCACTGCTCCACCAACCTCATTCTGCCCTCAGCCAGCCCCCACTTGCCTGGCTTCTTACTTACATTTTGGAAAAATGAAGATCTGGATGCTGCCTCCATCCATTCTTCTTTGATTGTTAATGAACTATAAAATTTAACATCCTATTGGGGGTCTCTGTGCCTGTCATTGGCTCTGGCGCCACCTACTGTTGGTCTCCCTGCCTTTTGCCCTACCAGTTCCATTGCCCCATGGGGAAGCCCATAGTTCCCAACAATTCATAGCCATTTTCTTCCACTCAGGGAGATCAAATGGGGGAGAGTTTCGCCAAAGACTCCCTTGCTCTCCACACTGGAGAAAAGGGGATGAAGGAGGGAGCCCTGAGTCATGTCAAAGAGGGTGAATGGGTGGAGTCAGTGCTGCTGACCCCTCAATCCTTGCTCAGTTTAAAATATGGTTCCTGTTAAAAAATAAATTAGGGTCCAAATAGGGTTGCCATATTTCAAAAAATAAAAACCAGGACACCCCAGGAGAAAGCGGCACCTTTCGGACCCGCCCCCCGACATCAATTCTGCCTTTGTAATCCCGGACGTATGGCAGCCCATACGTATAACAGATAAGGAAGCACGTCTTTCATTAGACCCTTTGCTGCCAATGACATTGGCTTTTCAGCTAGACAGAGCTCTTCAGAGGCTGCATGCTTTCTCCTGGAGGGCCTGCCCCATCTGCAAGCATATGCCCTCCTGTCCCTGGGGTCCCTCTGAAAGGGTCTGCTGGGGGCCAGGTACTTACTGTGCAGTTGCAGCCCTTGCTGTAGTCTGAACTCAGGCCTCGCTTCTGTGCAAAGGACAGCTGAGACCACGGCTCGATGAAGGAGCAGGCTGTGATCATGGCACGGTCCCCTTCCAGCATGCCTGTTGGGAGGTGAAAAAACAGGTAAGACAGAAAAGATAAGTGTAAATATGGAGGAAGAGAATATAGAGGACTTGCTCACAAGGCCTTGTCACCCCCAGACCTTCCTTTCATAACTAAAATTGTAACCTGATGAGAGGTTTGAAGGTTTATCAATAACGCCGCGCATCTTTGCAAGCATAAGCAGGGTTGTGCATAATCTGCCCTTCGGTGTGTATGTGTGTAATAAAAGAATCTTTTCCTGGACAAATGCAAATTCCATGCTCCCCAAAAATTGAATTGTGTGACCTGAGTACATAATTCATATGAGACCATTTTGTATGAGTCATTTTTTTGCATCATTTGTTTAGTTTTGCCTGATTTATTCTGACTTTGGTAGTCATGGCTCAGGTTAGAAAGCCACGTGAGGTACTGAACCCCTTTGAGCATCTCATTCAGCCTTCCCTCTGCTTTTTGAGATTTCCGCTGTCATAACAGATCTTTAAAAACACAAGGGCTAGAAACCTGCTGCCACTGCTTCTTCTTAATTAAATGAAAGCTGATATTCTCAGTCAGTTGAATTTCATGCCCCAAACGACATTATGTGTTTTCTTGTGTTTCTTTGGAATCATGACCCATAGCTAAAGTATCCCTGGGAAGAAAAGAGATTTCACTAGTTTCCTAGGCAATCTACTCTGTTATTAAGCTGCCCTTTCAAAAAGACATGCTGTGTTTATTTATTTTGGGGTTTTTTTGGCCACTAGAGCAGAAAACATATTGTTCACATTCTTTTGTTACAAGCAGCTTTGAGGCCAGCCTAGACAAGCGCTCACTGTGAGATAAAACTATTCCTGGGCGGTGTCATCTTTGACTGTAGGGGTGCTCACATTCTTGATTACTCATCCATTTAAAAGAACAACTCACTGACTGCACATAGAAAAATTGGCTGTTGGCGGGAGGAGGCATTCTGGCCTGCCCCAAAACTATCCATGAGATGCTGGCATCCTTTGTGCAGCAACTATTCCACCTGCCTCCATGGGAGAGCATTCAGTTGACCAATCCCACTCCTGTATTCTGAAGAGGTGCTGTCCACATAGGAGTGCATGTCCAAGTCTGTTTTGGGGGCCTAATCTGGCCCACCGGTTGATTTAATCTGGGCCCCGTGGCAATATATGTCCTTGGGGTAAAATCCTTTAAAAAGCTCATCAAGTTTGGGGTTAAATCCTAGCTCAACAACTTCAATCCTAAAAAAAGCGCAACAACTTTGGTCGGCCCTCACGCCTGTTCACTTCATCAAATCTGGCCATCTTTGGAAAAAGTTTGGGCACCCCTGAATTAAGCTGTTGGTCCAGATCAGGCCTGAGCTCTCTGACAAAAACTGGGATTAAAATGTTCAAAATCTACAGTATAAGGGCTACTCTGGATGCCCTTTCCCTTGGGTATTCATGATGATTTGTGCTCATGATGGTATCAGGGAGGTTACACAGGATTTCAATATGATTTGCACCTGGAAAGGTTTCAAGACTGCTTTGTTTCTGATTGGTGATTCTCCGTAACTTCCTCCTGAAATCTTGTAACTTCATAGCCTTCCATTGAAAACCCTCCCCAAACCCGTTTTTGTGTGCTCATGTCCAGAACCCAGCGCTCCCAAGGAGGTCTTGCACGAGGCTGACTTGTTCTTCCTCTCTTCTAAGAGGGAAGCTTTGTGAGTGACACAGCCCTGGGTGTCACGAAGGCCCTGGGCTGGTTGCGGCTGGTCCAGAAAGAGGAGAAGATTCAGATGGGTGTCAAAGCAACCGCAGAACAAAACCATCCAGGATATCGCCAAACCCTTACACTGGTTGGCACTTTCTAAGAACATAAGTGGAGCCCTGCAGGATCAGGCCCATCTAGCCTAGCATCCTGTTCTCACAGAGGCCAACCAGATGCAAACCAGGCAGCAGCAGCCGCAGCTGAGCAGAAGAGCCTTCTCCCCTCCTGCACTTTCCTGCAACTGTGATTCAGAGGCCTGCCAGTGGTCTGACCATAGCCATCCTGGTTAGTAGCCACTAATGACTTTATTCTCCATGAGTTTGTATAATTCTCCTTTCAAGCCATCCGACTTGGTGGCCATCACAGCCTCTTCACCCCTGTATTTCCCTATTCTCTCACTCGTGGTGGTTCAAGACATTTAGACACCTGAGAGAGAAAATTCATTGGTGTTTGCTCCTGTAAAACAGCATGCAAGCGACAATTTGCTCCTTATCAGTGGGACCTTCAAACCTGCTGCCAAAGGCTTTTGTTCCTGTGACAGGGCTGGCCCTGATCCTGAAGGGCCCTAGAGCTGTCTATCCTTTCTTGTGCAGTTTGGCAGGGGGTGCCTCTGAGCATGTGCAAAGGGCATGTGCAAAGGGTACCATAGCCACTCCCCACATATCTAGACCTCGGTGACATGGCGCTCCTCTTGACAAATCCATGCTGCCCTCAAATGACTGTGAGCAGAGGGCGCATAGGCCTGCCTTCTTTCACTCAGGGTTATTTGTGAGTTTCAATTTGCCCCAAGTGCTCCCTGGCAAAAAGACGGCGCACCATACCTGCAATGACATATTCTTCTCCTTTGAGAGGACCCTTGTGTTCATAGCCGCAGAGGCTTTCCATGGCAGGAGTGTGGAGGAAACGGACATCTTGCATCTCCTCAGGACCCTTGTACACCTGTGCAGGGGGGGGGAGGTGGGTCAGTGACCAGGAAGGGGCCAATAGAGGGACAGGTGCAGGGACAGGACTCTTCCCGGCTCTTACAGAAGTGGGGAAGAGGTTGTACTCAGGGGGAGCACATGTCTTGCATTCATGATTGTTCAAGCCCCATAAATTTAACTGATGATGATGATGATCATCATCATCATCACCTTAAAGCTGAAGAAGGGTCTACTGTTGAGAAGGCTCAATCTTTTGCCACCTCATGTGAGCTCAAGGGAGTACCTGTCAGTGTGTTGTGGCGGCCTCGGGGGTGCAGACAGCCTTCAGAGGCAGGGAACCTGAGGGCTGCACGCCACTAGTGGTGGGGCCAGAGGCAAAAGCATCCTTAGCAATGTACATTTTGCCTTTGTGCTGCAGGCTGTTTTCCTGCCAGACAAGCATCCTCAGAGCTCAAGGGCACCTTGCAGCCCCCCCTTCCCATCTAGAGGGTGTTGCAGGGAGTGGGAGGTGAGGATGAAAACAAAGGAAAGGAAGGGGAGACCAGCTGTTCTGAGAATGCGTACTGGGTGGCAGTGCAGAGCCTGGATAGCTGCATCTCTCTGCAAAAGCTTGCAAGGAAGAGAGGCAAAGTGCTCACTTTGCATGGGAAATTTGTAGGCTCAGCAAAGGCAGCATCTTCAGGGAAGAGGGAAGGAGCTACTGAGGATGAGGAAGACTTGGCCGCTGCATTTTGTTGCTGCGTAGATCCAAGCAGGCTCACTGGCTGTGGAATGGGATCTCCACCAGCTTGTCCTGCCCACCAGCATAAGGGCGGCTTTAGGGGATCCCACTGGTGAGTCTCTGGGTTACATTATAGTAGCGGGAGAAGCTCACCTTGGTGGTTTTGATCTCGTGTCGCATCCACCACACTGGTTCCCCTATGGAGATGTTCACCTGCTGCTTGCTGACTCCCACAAATTTACCCCGGATCACTGCAGAGGAAAAAACGGTATTGCATCACAGCTTTTCTTCCATTCTCCCCAGCTCTCCTGGCTTTTGACCTTGACTTTCATATGGCTCTCTCCCATTATGCTATACCCTAAGGGGGACCTTGCCAACAAAGGTCCGTATAGTTAAAGCCATGGTTTTCCCAGTAGTGATGTATGGAAGTGAGAGCTGGACCATCAAGAAGGCTGATCGCCGAAGAATTGATGCTTTTGAAGTATGGTGCTGGAGAAGACTCTTGAGAGTCCCATGGACTGCAAGAAGATCAAACGCATCCATTCTTAAGGAAATCAGCCCTGAGTGCTCACTGGAAGGACAGATCGTGAAGCTGAGGCTCCAGTACTTTGGCCACCTCATGAGAAGAGAAGACTCCCTGGAGAAGACACTGATGCTGGGAAAGATGGAGGGCACAAGGAGAAGGGGGTGACAGAGGACGAGATGGTTGGATAGTGTTTTCGAGGTTACCAGCATGAGTTTGACCAAACTGCGGGAAGTAGTGGAGGACAGAGGTGCCTGGCGTGCTCTGGTCCATGGGGTCACAAAGAGTCGGACACGACTAAACGACTAAACAACAACAAAAGGAGGGATGGTGCAGGACGCTTGGGAATCTTGTCACCTCGGCTACGGTTTCTTCTGCAATTTGTCTGCTCTGTAGCCTCAGAGTTGCACCCAGACCTGCTCTTCTCACAAGGCCTGCAGCAGGGAACCATTGGCCCTCAGATGTTGCTGCACTACAACTCCCATCTCCCCTAAGTCTTGGCTCTGCTGGCTGAGGTGGATGGGCTTTGGAGCCTGACCACATATGGAGGACACCACAGGCTCCCCTTCCTCACACTCGATTTCCCCATAAAACTACACTCTCTTTCTCTTGTAAGGGTCAGAGTTTTGAAGTCCAACTTCTAACAGGGATGCCTCCCCTTGGAGTTAAGTCAGTGATGCCCTCCATACGGACTACCTCCCATCATCTCACCTCTGACTGTGCTGGCCATCTGATATCAAAAGCCCCCTAAACACAAAAAGTGGAGAGCGGGCTGTGACCACCTGGTGTTTTAAATGTAGACATTTAGATTCTGCTCTTTCAGTGCAAAATGTGCCACTCTGAGCAGCTTACAACAATAAACTGCATTACAAACAGCAATACAAAGGCTCAATGAAGAAGGGGGCAAATTCAGCCATTAAAACCAAATTATAAAAACAAAACAAAAGCTTGCTGGAACAAGGAAGTCTTCAGTAGTTTGGGGGGGGGGTCCTGGTGACACTTTTCAGAGTTACTAAAAAGCCACTGGACAGATTTTCCTGCAGCTATGTTCATATACTGGAGTTGTTGAAACACCACTTGCATTTTAACACTCGCCTGTAGATCATTCACATTTTTGTCATAGATCTGCTAGGAAATGCAAAGTGAGATGTAATCCTCTTTGTAGGCTCTCCCATAATCTCCCTCCAAGCAGGCTTTTGGAGGAAACTGAGCAGGAGGAGGGAGGGGTGTGTGTGTGTGCGTGTGTGTGTGTTTTGATTGGACTGCAAGTGGAAATCCCACTCTGAGCTTCTCCCCCTAGTCCAGCCAGGGAAGCTGCTTTCTCTGTGCTGTGTTGTGAGTCTGCAACCAAAGAGGACTCAAATTACTACCGCTTTGTGATGGGCATAGCTAGTGCTCTCCTCTGATTAGGTCCTTGGAGGGACTGTCGCTGGGGGCAGGGCATCTGCTCTGCATGCAGAAGGTTCCCGGTTCAACCCCCAGCATCTCCAGGTAGGGCTGGGAATGTCCCGTCTCTGAAACCCCAGAGAGCTGCTGCCAGTCAGTGTGTAGGCAATGCTGAGCTAGATAGTGCAGTACTCTGACTTGGTATAAGGCAGCTTCCTATGTTTGCATGCAGGAGGTCCCAAAGTCAGTCTCTGGTGCCTCCAGTTTAAAAGGATCAGGGAGCAGGTGATGGGGGGAAACCCTCCCTGGAAAATTGCTGCCAATCAGAGTAGACAATACTAGGCAAGATTGGCAAATAGTCTGACCCAGTGCCTTTTTCTAGAAAAATAGGTGCTGGCACTCACCATGAAGTTGTTACAGCAAGTGTCACACTTTTTAACAACAACAAAAGAGGTGCCGGCACTGTGTCCCCTTGAGGACCCCCTGAAAAAAGCACTGGTCTGGACTTCCGGGTTGACGCGATCTGGAAATGGCGGATTCCCTCCGAGCTCCGGAGGGAACCGGCTCCACTGAGGACGGGTCTTTGCCGCGCCGGCGACGCAGGGACCCTTAAAAACCGCAGGCGCGGAAGCCTGCGGACTGAAGACTCGGCGGGTGCCTTAAGCGCCCCCCCTGATTCGCAAAGAGCCTTTTTAAAGGCTGCGGAGGGGATACGGGGGTGGCGTGGCACTGAGAGTCGATCGCTACCTCGGTGGAGTGAAGCCGCGAGCCATGACCAGAGAGCGCTGACTTCCTTCCTTGAAAATTTGGACTGAAAGAATCACCCGTGAGTAATACGGATTGGGACTTTAAAAAATTTTTACCCTGAATTGGAGACGACCGGGGGGTGTGCTAAAAGGAAGTCCGCACCCCCCCCCTGCAGACGATCTAAGCAACGGCATAAGAGCTAAGCTGGAGAGCCTACCCTTGGTGGGGTGAGTTAAAAAGGACATTATCTTTCAAGATTTAGCTAAAGGAAATTTTGGGCTGGAGAGTGGAGTTTTGGAAACCTTCTTTTTGTTTTAAACAACCCCCCCTCCCGGGCTCGGGAACGTCCTGCCTTTGTGCCTGTGTAAAAGCTGCGGAGTTTGACAGCTGTCAAAGCTGTCAAACGGGCGGTTTAAAGCGGAAAAATTGCTATCTAAGATTCCTCTGGATTAAGACGAGTTATAATTGAGCCAAAATCGTTGGAAACAAAGTAATAATAATAAGTTAAAAGACTGTTGGAGAAAAGACTAATAAGTAACCAGATTCCCCCTAGGGGAATTCTGTGAAACTACAATGGATACAATGGCTGTGGAAGGAAAGTTACTAGTGGAAATTGAAAGGATGTTTCAATTGGTGGGAACCTTACAAGAGCAGAGTTTGGCCATGAATAAACAACTTGTGACTATGACCTTGGGAACAGGCAACTCTGCTGTTTGTATTGAGGACCTGAATGAGAAAGAATCCACAGCTGAATGTGAAACAATATCTACAGAGGTCGAAGAGACTAAACAACAAGAAAAAGAGGAGTGGACATCTGTGGATCACAAGCAAGGAGACTCTGGGAACACATCTACCACAAGTCTGCGAAAGATACAGAAGAAGAAGGAGGAGGCCCTGGGACAACATGGAAAACAGGAATTTAAAATAAAGAAATATGATTGGGGCCTCCATTTGGACTTTGACTTTGAAGACACAGACTCAGTGGGAACTTTTCAGCAGTTACTGTCAAACCTCCTTGTGGGAAGAGAATATTTTTTGATGGTGAAAGAACTTCTTCCAGACTCGACGACTGACATAAAGGACTACCAACAAGACAGGCGGAGAGGGACTGAAAGGGACTTGAAAGCCTCGGACGTGAGGAACCCAGGCTGAGAATTTTGATTTTGGATTTTTATTGGGAAGGGACAAAAACCGGGGATGGGAGGGAGGGAAGAGGAGATTCCTAAAAACTCTGAAGACTTGTAGGTTTGGTTAATATGACTTTTAATGAAGATAAAATGAAAAATCGATGGAAGAGAACTTAAGTCCAACTTAGGAAAATTAATGTTTTATTATAAAAGAGGTAATAAGATGAATAAGATGGTTAAGAGGAGAAATACCAACTTGCTGATATAATCTTGGGAATTGGAATGCATGAGGGGGGGTGGGGGGAAGTCCGGGAACAAGGTTATGAAACGGGGAATTGCTGATTTTATACATGTTTTTGTCTTGTGTTCTTTTTTGTGTGTGTTTTGTTTCTATAAAAGCAGAAAACCCAATAAAATTGTTATAAAAAAGAAAAAAGCACTGGTCTGACTTGATAAAAGACCTATGACTGCAATTTTTGTTACTAGTGGCATAATAATATATTGATAACAGCTGAGATCAGGGTTTAGAACATGTAAACCAAATAAGTTCTGTTGTATTCAGTCACACTGGTGATATCTGTCTGCAATTGCCCTCCTGCTCCCCACCTCAGTGTTATATGAGTCCTGAGCCTCTTTCAATCCCAACCACTTTCTTTCATTCAAGGAAAGAACAGAAATCTTAAAAATTCAAAGGGTGAATCACCTAAGGAGCCCCTTCAGAGGAAGCCCTGTGCAAGGACTTCTGCTTGCACAAAAGGGCTCCCCACTTCTCCTTGGAACTGGCTGGGGGCGGGGAGGCTGGGAGAAGTGCAGAAAAGCAGCTGGAAGGGACAAGAGGGGGCGTCATTCCATCTGGCTGAAGCGCTTGTGCAGATGGAAGATTTGTAATAGTGGGGCATTGCATCCCACCCCAAATTTAGAATGTGTAATAAAATAAAACAGCCCAGAATCATTTTATGTTAAAAATCTTTTTTAAAAAGAGACAAGAAAAGAAAGAGGCACATTTTTTAAATCAGACTCTAGCCTACCAGCTAAACATGCCCATTTGCCTAATTTATTTCAGTGACAGGGTCAAAGTTTCCTAGTGACAGTTCTGGGGGGCAAAATTAATTGCCGGATTCTATACTGACTGTAGCTGAGGTACATAAGGGAAGACGTATCGATTGTATACTGCCAGCAGGGGGCAGTGCAGGGCATATTTACTTATTATCAAGTGTGCACTATTGCAGGACTTAAAAATGCTTCTGAAGCACTTTCAAGGGGGTGTTAGCAAGCACAAGTATTGAAACAGTTCCAGGAGCGTTTAGAGGGGATAAAACCTCAGCATACCATGATATATGACCAAGTTTCCATTTGCGCTGCCAACCTTCGGTTTGTGTGGTGTTTGGGTTCCTGCACTTCTAACAACTGCCTGGTTTGCAGAAATTTCGCATGTGAAGCTTTTTCTGGGATGGAGATGAATTGTTGGGGGAAGGTTCAATTGCCAAACTTATCCGGTAGCTGAAGATGAGGAAGACCCAAGAGCCCTGCTAGAATCCTCATCTTCAACATCCTCATCACCATCTTGGGGCGCTTCCAGATAACCTGTTTATTGACTCTGTGTCCTGATTTGTTTGCAGGGAGTTTAGATGACACTGGCTATTTAATGAGCAATTATTCAGAGGCTTCTGTGAGGATGTTAGATGACAATGCACCAAAGTGAGGTGGTTCTGCGCTTTCCAGTGCATTTCCTCCTCACTTTCCTTACTACAAACTTTCAACTACAACTGTGCAACCAGAATTTGCCAGTCTCCCATCTGAAAAGAATGAGAGTCTGGAAGCCCCCCTCAATTCAATTGCTCTAGGCGTGCTGAGATGATGGGCGGTTCTTCTGGGTATAAGCGCTCACCACAGGGAAGTAATCCAGAGTGAAAGCATTGCTAGTGACTTCAAATGACACTCCTGAAGTCTGACTACTCAAGTGGCATTGGTATGCCATCAAACCCTTTAAAGGACTGGACACAGTCTGTTGGTACAGGAAGGGGGGGATGTGTAGATTTGCCAACTTAGTTACTAGCAGGTTTATGCACCTAAATAGTTTGTGGTCTGTCTACAGCCTAATGTAGCCTGAGACATGTTAGAGAACAATGGTCTTCCCTTTTATAAAAATACCTTTGTATTAGGTCTACCAGGCAAGTGGCTATTTGCAACCCTGGGGCATAGTGGTGAATTTCGGTTTATGGGAGTGATGGACAGAATTCACAGAATCATGGAATCATAGAATTATAGAGCTGGAAACGACCCCGAGGGTCATCTAGTCCAACCCCCTGCATTGCAGGAAACTCAACTAAATCATACATGGCAGATGACCAGCCCACCTCTGCTTAAGAACCTCCCAGGATGGAGAGTCCACCACCTCTTGTGGGAATCTGTTCCACTGTCAGACATCTAGGACAGAGGCAGACGACCACATTCCCTCATGGACAACCTTCTTGGGGGCTGCATGACCTAGTGGTAGGAGGGACTAGAGGTAAAAGTGGGCGGGGCTTGCCTTTTTACAGTAGGTTGCATTCACACACTTCTAGCCAGGCAAGCAAGCAAGAGGCATTACGACTGTTTAAGGACACAGAATAGCCAGGCAAAAACATGTGAGGAATACGTGGAGCAGGACAAATGAGGGGTGTGGTCCTGGGAAGAGTCCAGAGGGCTGACGAGGGCCACATTCAATGCCTGAGCATGAGCCCCCCCCCCCGCCACAAGAAGAGCATTAGGAGTCAAAGGGGAAGCTGTGCCCCAAAGGGCAGAGGAAGTCAGAGAGTGCCGAGAGGAGGAGGGCAGTGCGTGGACTTCAGCAGCGTCCAGAGACTCACCAACATCAGCATAGCAGTATGCGGATTGGGGGTGCCGGTGGGCACAGGAGCAGGCTGCAGTTGGATCCCCCAGCAGAACCAGAAGGAGGAAGCTGGCCGTCAGGAACCCACACACTTTAGAGGTGTCCATTTTTAACCCAAGGAGAGAAGTGACTCAGTCGTGACCTGGAAGGCAGAGAGAGAGAGAGAGAGAGAGTTGTTTCAGGAGAGGGACCTTCAGAAAAAGGGGTGGGAACATCATCCACAGAGTAGCACCTGCAAGGGAGTTCTCTAACCCTGGCTGAACAAAGCTCTTTGTGTCCCGGTTTTGTGGGTTGGGCAGAATCGAAAATCAGGGATGGGAGGAAAGAAGGATCACTTGGCATGGGGACAGGCGGGAAGGACCCCAGGGGCAGCTCCCTCCACCCTGGGTGGGTGCCACCCAAGCTGTGCAGTGGATTCCTCTCCCTATGGGGACACCCCACCCAGGCTGGGGCAGTGGGTTGAAAGGGGGAAGCCTTAGCAGGAAGGGCAGTCAAGCGCCTGGGATTCCTGTGCCAGCGTAGGAAACTGCTGGGAGGAACCGGGGCCTTGGGAATCCGCAGACGGGCTTCGGCTTCCTTCCTCCACAGGTCTGGGGGCTGAGGGGTCTTTCTTTCTGCCTGGGGCCCTTCGCTCACCTTGCTCTCTGCCGCTGCTCTCTGGGCGTGCGCTGCCCGTTCAGCCTGCAGCTCCTGGGCTTTCGGGCTGGTATTTAAAGCTCACCCCACTTTCCCTCGCCTCTCCTCCCCCTGCCTTTCCTGTCTGGGCTGCCAAATGGGCGTGACAGCAGCAGCAGCAGCAGCAGCAGCCTGTGGTTTTGAGCGAGCCATGCCAGGGTGGAGCGCCTCTTGCCTCAAGGGAGAGACGGGGAAGGCGGGAGGGAGCCGCTGCAGGCAGCCCCCAGCCCCCAAAAAGGGTGAGCGGAAGTTTGGGATTACTCGGTTAATTGAAAGAAAGTGATGGTGGTTGTTTCGACGGCTGGCTTCTAAGACGCACATCCCTCTGGAGCTCCCAGAGTGTTACTCTTGTACTCTGGACTAGACTCTTTCCTTCTCGGTTTGATCACTGAAATTTCCTCCTTCGTTCTTCCGGTTTACAGTGTGTTGGTAACTACCTTCGTTTCACAGAAATTGGCATACTGAATAAGTGAGATAGAATCATAGAACTGTAGAGTTGAAAGGGACCCTGAGGATCATCTAATTCCAGAGTCCAACCCCTGGAATTAGCAGGAATATGCTGCTGTCCCAGGCAAGGATCAAACCTGCAAACTTGGATTATCCGCACCAGGCTCTAACCAGCTGAGCTATCCATGCAGATGGCATTTCTTACTGAACGAATCAGTCTGTGATTTTTAAGTCTGGGCAAGCTTCTGAGTTTCACAGAACTTCTCTTTTGGTAAAATAAGCATTCCGATGACAGGAGATTGCAGGAAGCAATTCATAAGGGAGCGAGGCAGATTTCTGCACCTCTTGGGGACTCTGAAAGCTCCGTTTGCCTCCTCCTCCTCCTCCTCTTAATTAACTGCCTTTCGCATATATGTCTCAAGGCAATGTACATAGTATAGCAAAAACAGCAGAGAAAATAACTGCAGGTGAACTGAAACACAATAAAAGGAGACAACCATGGCAGAGACAACCATTCACCCAGTTGGGAAAGCTGGTCAGAACAGAAATGGGGTAGTTTGGAAAATAACTTGGCTACAAGATGAGCTTTTGCACGGAAACAAGCCAGGAGCTCCAGATGCAAGTTTGGCAACATGCAAACGGGCTTTTTCAGGGTGTTCCTTGCTTGTGGAGTGCTTTCCCCAGGAAGGCTTGCCTGCTACAACCTTTATTTTTAGTTGCCAGGCCCTTAAGAATTTCAAGTCCTTGTGGCCTCCTTTAGTGGGGCAGGTTCTCTAAGTTATGTCTTTTAATTGTATAGTTGTGGGGTTCTTTAAGGTTTTCATTGGGTTTTTTTGTAATTAGTTTTAGAGTTTATATTGTGTTTGTAAGTTGCTTTAGGTCACTTGTGGGAAGAGTGACTACTAAATATTATTATCAGTAATAATAAGTTTTAAGATGTTTCTGGAAAGTGCAGAAGAGTGTTGAAGAGCCCTGTGAAAATAATTCTATGCAAACACAAAAACTTCCACCTCCTTTGAGCTCCTAGCTTTCTTCAGGGCCAAAGGTCACACTGGCAGCTAAGTTCATTTCCAAAGCACCCCATGACGTCTCCTCACCTCTGCTACTCCTCTTCTGCTGTCTCTCAGGATGAGCCCCAAGACTATCCCTGATCAAGCTGGAATGTGTGTGCAACTTCTGTGCCATTCATAGAACCTCACAAGCATGTCTTTTCAAGTTAGCTAAGGTCACAGCTACACTTACCTTTGAATCCCTCTTATACCACTTTAGCAATCGTGGCTTCCCTCAAAGAATGCTGGGAACTGTAGTTTGTTAAGGGTGCTGGAAATTGTAGCCTCGTGAGGGGTCTCCTAACAACTCTCAGCACCCTTAACAAACTTCAGTTCCCAGCATTCTTTGGGGGAAGCCAGGACACTCCCCCCCCCCGTGTGTGTGTGTGTGTTTATTGCAGGTATATTCTGCAACACGTAATTGACTCAATATTAGTGCATTAATGATGGATGTCTTTATGACTGCACATCATTCCGCTCTGTTATTTGTCCTATGATGTTCTGCAATGTTACTGTGTTACTGCTGTTTGGAGGCGCCCTCTTAGTGCAGCAAAAGTGGGACAAAAAATAAACCGGCATTTTTATGGTATAAAAAGGTGACAGGATTTTAGCAGGAAGTGACGGGGCATGCACCAAATAGAAATGAAGCGGTGTGATCACCTGAAACATTTGCAGGTGTAAATGATAATGGAAATGTGATTGTGTATAATCTCCCCAATAATGTTTTGATATGTGAAATTAAAAGGACTTTGCATTGTTTTGTAAGACGCCTTGGGAATCCTGTTGGAACCTGAAAGTGCAGGATGCTAATTGCTGTAGAAATAATATGAAAAAGTGGTGCTTGCATAGCTATCCCTGACCTTGGTTTGGCCTCAGTGATGGCACAAGCCTAAGTTCCTCTACAGCACATGTTGCTGCCACTGACTTTCGTGTTCCCCCACTTCTGGTGCTGAGCTCAAGGACCATGCAGAAGGTCACCGGGTGGCTCATACAATTGCACGCTGGTGTATGACTCAGGAAAGGGGATCCTAGGTCTTTTCTTCACCACTGCTCAGAAGTACAACTCAGCAAATAAAGAGCCCTGAATGTTGCTCCATTAGAGTGTGGGGATTTTGGGGTCACGTTTCCTATCTTGGCTCCAAAGTTGGGTGCAAACCTTCCAGTCTCACCTGCTTTCCAAGACCAGGACTAGAAGATCTGGTTGTAGGAAACTGAACGGGCAGGCCTGGGCATATGAACTTGGCAAGAGTTCTCCTTCAATATGCAGACATTTCTGCTGCAAACACGGAGGCTCAGTATGGATGCTGCCCAGTCTTCTAACCACAGCTAGGAAAGTGAGATCACCCTGAGGGCATTGGTACTACTCCCGCTTCCAACGCTCCCTTCCATTTCCAGAGCTACCCATGGGTAGCATTGCTGGTTTTTTTCCTAACTGTGGTTTGTTCAAAACTACAACATGGAGGTTAAGCGTGGTTCTCAAGCTGCAGTGCAAACCTAGCAATAACCACTGTTTGCACCAAAAATAAAAAAGAGTGTGGAATTAATTTGCAAGAGTGAAGGGTGCATGAGAAGTGTGAAGGTCCCAATGTTCTAGTTTCATGGTTTTAAGAGATTGGGCAGCAGACACTGAGATCTTGCTCCGAGGGCCTTCTGGCGCTTCCCTCACTGACAGAAGTGAGGTTACAAGGGTTACAAGAACAACCTCTTCATCCATGGACTACACAGATGACACAGCCTAAGGTGCACTCCATCCTGCCGTGAGCTTGTGGTGCTTCCAACTGGGTGAAGTGGGTGATGGCACAGAATGTTCTGCTCAAGGAACAAAGAAAACAGACTGTTTGCAGTCCAGCTTGTGTGAAGGGAGGAAGATCTGTCCTCTTGGCTGGAATTCAAACTCACCGGCCGGTTCTTTGGACTGTAGGTATCTACTAGTCACAAATTTTCCAGCATGTCTGTGGGATCTAATGGGCCAAAGTAGATTGGGTTTGGAAAAAGAGCCACCTGTGTTCTATTTCTATCCTGTGTGTCTCCATGGTTTGAGGAGAGAAAGGTCAGGAGGAAGGCTGTGGTCAAAGAAACGGCTGAATGAAAAGGGAAAGTGAGATTTTCCATTCATCACCAGCAGGAAATTAGGCAGTGTTTTTGTTTATGTTTGATTTGCAGTGTTTAAGGATGAGTAAAAGTTATTGGGAAAGTGAGATAGGCAGGGAAGGCCCCTGGCGATGGAGCATCATCAGCTCCCCCCTGCTTCCTCACTCCCCATCCCTCCAGGGCTTCTGCCTCCTGCCTGGTTTGCCCCCATTTCTCTCTTGCAAAACCCCCTCAGGGCATCAGGAGTCAGGGAGCAGCAGTGACATAAGGGGAACAGAATGGGAACCAAAAGGTGACGGTCAGGAAGGAGGAGGAGGAGGAGAATGGGCCCACACAGTGACTGTTGAATGGGTGGGGCAGAAGCTGAGTGATATGTGTCGTGCCTCAGGCCATATTGCATATTTTCGCAATTCTCATCCTCTCACCCTACTCTGGTCTTACATCATAGTTATCATTAATAATGAGGAGATACTTTGCATCTATACAACGTTTTAAGGGGGTTGACAACACCTTACACCCACCAACTTAGTAGGCTTAACAACTATTTTTTAAGGAAGACTAGTATCATCCCTGGGACGTGTGTGGCACTGTGGGTTAAACCACAGAGCCTAGGACTTGCCGATCAGAAGGTCAGTGGTTTGAATCCCAGCAATGACGGGGTGAGCTCCCATTGCTCGGTCCTTGCTCCTGCCAACCTAGCAGTTCAAAAGCATGTCAAAGTGCAAGGAGATAAATAGGTATCGCTCTGGTGGGAAGGCAAACGGCGTTTCCGTGCGCTGCTCTGGTTCGCCAGAAGCGGCTTAGTCATGCTGGCCACATGACCTGGAAGCTGTACGCCGGCTCCCTTGGCCCATAAAGCGAGATGAGCGCCGCAACCCCAGAGTTGGCCACAACTGGACCTAATGGTCAGGGGTCCCTTTACCTTTACCTTTATAGTATCATCCCTCTATTGCAGATGCAGGAAATGGAGGCCAGGAGAGGAGCCGTTTGTTTAAGGCTGGTAGCTACCATGTTCATGGTGAGCTCATGTCTGTGGTGAGATTTGGGAGCAGTTAAGGACCCCCCCCCCTGCAAGTGAAGACAGGCTCTGGCCGTTTGGGCAGACAGGACTGATCGTGGGTCCACCAGTCAAGAAGGCGGTTTCTGCCTGTGCTGTAGAGGGAAGTGAGGGGCGGGTGGGGCTCATCCACCTGAGAAGGAAGCCCATCTAGGAGAAGAAAAACTCTGATCTTAGACCTCTGCTGCCTTGTGGGATATCTTTGGGGTAATAAAATGCTAAGAAGTAAACCCTGCACAAATCCAGAGTGGAGTCCCTGAGGTGGTTGGATTGTGCTTTGGATGCCTCCTCTCAGCAACTCCTGCAGCCAAAGCAAGTGCCAAACGTCTTGCTCTGCTTTCCTTTGGCTCACAGCAGCAAGACCGGGGGGGGGGGTCTTGTTGTCTGGCCAGCCCAGAACCTCCAGACACACGGCCCAGGCTTGCACCCCGGGAAGGTGACTTCGGTGCTGCTA